TTTATTCATTATTCGTCTTACTTTAAAGAGAGTTAGAAATAAATTTTTCAAAAAAAAATCAAAAAAACAAGATTCTTGACATTTTTCAAATCATATATCCCCCTGGAAAAAATAGTTAGACTTGGTATTTTCAATGTATTGTCACTATAAATTGATATTGAGAGAAAAGTAATTATATACTCGGATAGCCCGTGGAGTTCTCTACAAACTGATATATAGAAGTATTGAATTGTATTTTTCTCTTGATAATAAATTCAAGTACATTAAAGGCACCCTCATAGTCAAATTTTGAAAAATTTTACATATCGTTCTTTTTTCCAATTTATTTTCAATACAAAGATAACTTATTCCAAAACTAAATATATATTCTGAATGTACGTGAAATTCTCTATCACTCCATACTATCCCAACCACCATTAGATATTATTTATTGACAAATAACAGGTACATTATTTATATACTCTAACTTTCACATTTTTGCCTATCTTTAATCAAGCATAATCTATTCCTTTTTGGAGTATAATAACAACTGAAATGATGCTCTAAGTACCACTATAGAAGACAATTCTAAAACATTCAAAAGAAGTACAAGAGTTCGTTTTAGAAGTGTACATCACCATTTTTTTATTTACAGAATAAATGACTGAGAATAACCAATGGATACTCCTCTGTTTTTTCCTTTCTTTTCATTTCTTAAATAGACGGCCGTTCATTAAATTTTTGTTTTTCTCACCATTTTCTCGATAACATAGTCTATACAGTCGTCAGTCTGTTAATTATACTTATTAACACATGTATCGGCCACGTGGCCGTTTATTTTCAATTTTGTTTCGAAGCTAATTGGTCAACTACGATGAGTAGTCATTTATCTGTCCGTGATCGTTGGCGTATTATTTCATTAAATTTTGATCAAGGAGTCAATGTACATGAAGTAGCTCGTCGGATACCTTGTAGTATTCAAACAGTTTATAATATACTTCAATTATTTCAAGAAACTAATGATGTGATAGAACGTAATGGACGAGGTCGTCTTCGGATATTGAATAATGATCAAGTTAATACATTACGACAATTACTATATCAATATCCAACTGATACTTCAAGCAGTATTGCTGATCGATTGCTACGACGGACTGGTCTAGGTATTAATCCTCGAACAATTCAAAATTATCGTTCATCATTAGGTTTTCGTCCAGTTCATGCGCGAAGTCAACCATTAATTAATGCAAGACATGCACAATAACGATTAACTTTTTGTTTATCATATGCAGCGGCTCACTGGGATAATGTCATCTTTAGTGACGAAAAGACTTTTGAAGTAGATATTTCTGGTGTAGTCTATTGGATTCCAGCTACGCTTTCAAGACCAACACATTTTCAAAATCAAATTCAATTTCGTGTCGTAATATTTGAAGCAATATGGTTTGATGGACGATCCAATTTAGTTTTCATTCATGGTCGAACAAATACTAGAACTTATGTTGGATATCTTCAAGCAGCGTTTCGTTCATATTTACGTCAACTGAGCGGATATTATTTCATTCATGATCGTCCAACATGGGCCCATACTGTTCTTGCTCATGATTGGTCGCGTCGTAAACGTATTAGGTGCATGGACAACTTTCCGGCTGTCAGTCCTGATCTTAACGCCATTGAGAGCGTTTGGTCTTGGATGAATCGGTATATACAAAGAAATCATCCAAATTCACAATAACATTTACAAATATTAGTTCAACAAGCGTGGAATATGATTCCTCAAAACGTTATACGTGGATATATAAATAATGTATCTGTTATTTGTCAATAAATAATATCTAATGGTGGTTTGGATAGTATGGGGTGATAGAGAATTTCACGTACATTCAGAATATATATTTAGTTTTGGAATAAGTTATCTTTGTATTGAAAATAAATTAGAAAAAAGAACGATATGTAAAATTTTTCAAAATTTGACTATGAGGGTGCCTTTAATGTACTTGAATTTATTATCAAGAGAAAAATACAATTCAATACTTCTATATATCAGTTTGTAGAGAACTCCACGGGCTATCCGAGTATATAATTACTTTTCTCTCAATATCAATTTATAGTGACAATACATTGAAAATACCAAGTCTAACTATTTTTTTCCAGGGGGATATAAGCCGACACAGTTTTATAACTTCATTGCTATCATTATAATATTTTTGACTATAAGCGAACTTTGCAGATCAGAGTTTTTTTATGTCAAGCGAAAAAACACAAAATTGAGCTACAAGAATATTGCACTAAAGAATTTTTCAAGTGACCAAGTATTTTTTTAACTTTGAACAATGCATGACATTGAAGGATTTTAAAGAACTATGCAGAGACTAACTGTCGAGGGTGTGGGTGTGGCTGTGGGTGTCGATGGGTGTGGCGTGGGTGGGAGTGTGGGTGTGGATTTGGGTTTGGGTGAAAAAGATGTCACCAGCCTACAACCAACACCGATGCCCAGACCCAAACCCCACTCAAACTCACACCATACCCACGCTCACACCTCCATCTACGCACCATGTTTTCTTGTTGAATTGGTTTTTGAACAAATCTGTGTCACACATGAGAAATATACAAGCAAGGCGAAAGATAAACGTCTTTTATTTGAATGAAGCAAAAAAAAATCTTATGAATACGTTTCTAGTAAACTATATCCATTCAGTAGTTAAATGTTCTGAAAATAATGATACTTTCAGTTGCTGCTGGGTGGATTAAGATTATATCGAGGTATCGTAGTCATATCATCTGCACCAGCACTTCGACTAAATCGGCAACAGCCAGGAACACTATTAAGTGAACAACAAAACCAACCAGATGGACAACAGCCACCTGTAGAACATGTGTTGCATTGTCCATTAACGGTGTTGCTTCCTATCATAAGAAAGGCAAGGACAACAATCAAAAGAACAGCTTGAAATCGAGCCATTTCAGATGCAAAGATCAGTATTGAGTGTTGAG